GTCTCTGGGCTACCGGAGCCGCTGTGTTTTTCTTCAGCAGTTCAGCCAAGGCCGATTCCTCCTCAGTTCTGGAGAAGTGAGCGTGTGGCTCCTCCCTGCAGCTGTTCCTCAGCCTTCCCTTGGCCAAGACCCCTGGGCACGACCTGGGACCTGCCAGCCCCTGCAGCCCCAGCTCCCTGGGACTCTCCTTACCTGGTGGTTTTATCCCTGTCTTCTCTCCATGCTGTTGTCTTGTGTTAGGAAATACCTGAACTGCTGCGAGGTTTAGCTTGCAGACCCCCTGGCTGAATGTGCTTCTGATGATACCGGGGGAATTCGGCCCTCCCAGCTCCATCCTCTGCCTGCCCTACCCACCCTGCACTGCAGCAGCCCATATGGCTGGAGCATTTACATAATGCCAAGTTATCCTGTGAAATATGAAGCAATTAATTTTGATTAGTGAAGTGGGTCAGTACAATACAAAGCCTTTTCAGTGTGTGGATCTGCAAAAGATGGTCCATCCATGGTCCTTCCCTCCATTTACCTCCCCTCTGATGTGGCCAGCTGAGCCCTCTCTGGGAGCTGGAGCACCCAGAGCTGCTCACAGCCAGACCCCTCGTGCTGTGGCTCAGCTTGGTACCTTTTCTGTTGCAGGTGCTTGTCCAGCCCCCCTAGCTTGATGACACACTGCCTGGGCATGAAGGTTTTCCTTCCCCAAGGTGTCTCAGCTGCCTTTGGGAGATCCCATCTCTCATCAATCAGTGCTCTGTAGGTTACATTTTAAACAGTATTTCATGGCCAATCCCAGAGTTGTGGGGTTGACATGGGGCACAGCAGAAGGAGGGTGCTGGGGTTGGCAAACACCCCATTTCTCTGCTGGACTGGGTACAGCTGGTGATGCCCAGCCCAGGGGACCAGGACAGGGACAAATGTGGCCACGAGGTGTGGAGATGTGCTACAGTGCCCAGTGCTTCTGCAGCACCTTTGCTAGGATCCTGGAGTGCTTTTGTTGCTGCTTTCCATCAAACCTGTCCCAGAGCTCACAGGGACTGCAGAGACTTGTTATGTGTAGCCTTCCTAAGGCTTCTGGTTCTCAGTGCTGCTCCTGCCCCCACAGAGTGGTTCTGAGCCCCTGCCAACCGTGGGCAGCTCACCTCTGGTGCTGTGTGCTTTGCTTCAGGAAATTCTGGGGGAAAATCTACATTTCCACTGGGTTCTTTGCTGCTGGCTTGACTGCCCTGGTTACTTTGCCTCCAGTTTGCTCTCTGTGCTGTGCAGCATTTCAGTGCAACAGGAATGGAGCAGAGAGGAGTTAAGAAGGGGGAAGGCAGGGTGGTTTACTGGGCAGACCAGTCTCCCTTCAGTGCTGGTTTCGTTCTGTTGTTTCAGATTTGGTTTGGGCTCTTTCTGAGCAAAGGAACACTCTGGTAAAAGGCTGATCAGACTGCAGGTCTAATTCTTCTGCCACAGGCAGGAGTGCAAACCAGAAATAATGTTACTGCAGGTGATACAATTACACCAGCTTGGAACTGGGCTGAGAAGCAGCCTGGTCGGTACCCACTTCTGGCTACATCTGCATGATACTGACAAAGCTGTTAATGTTACCAAACCAATTTCACTAGGAATCTTTTGTCACCCACAGCACATGATGCTGAGATGAGACCAAGGTGACAGGTGCAATAAAATAAACACTCGATACTGTGGTGATGGAGGCTCCAAACACCCAGATAGGAGAGAACAACAAAGCTGAGCTGCAAGAGATAAGCAAGATACCCCCCGTGTCTCCTAATGCAAAGAAAGAACTAGAAAATATAATCAAGATTTCAGCTTTCCCAGAATCACTGCATCATGCAGGAGGATCCGTTATTGCTTTCATAGGAGCTGTACAGGTATAATGGAATAATGGAGCCCCTATTATTTTTAACTCTTCCCCTGCCTCTCCCAAGGCACTCTGTAGCTGATTGATGGCTCTGGGGCTGAAAAGAGCTGAGCACAGTTATCAAGGACCCTTGAAGATGATTTAGTTCTGAACAGGAGCCAGCAGGCACATTTGTATTTGTGATGGACGAGTATAATTTTGGACAGTCCAGGGTGCTCCCTCAGGGGGCCTGGCTCCCCATGCCCCCCCAGCTGTCAGGTGCAGAGGGAGGGAATGTGCAGGTTTGATCTGTTCAAAGCTAACCTTGCTCTGAGAGCCACAGCCTTACAAATGCAGGAAGGACTTTTTTTAATTATTATTATTTTTTTATGTGGACAAATCTCTTTAATCCCAGGAGCTGGAGCCCTAGGGAGCAGGCAGTGGAAGCTTCCTCCCCTGTTTGTGCAGCCTGATGTACACAAAACATCTCCTGTGGGGTCAAGCTGATTCCGCAGTTCAGTCCCCTCTGCAGAGTGGAAACAACAGGATCCATTTTGGGATGGAGACAGCTTTGCAATGGGAATAGTGGTGAGCAGACTTCACTGAGCAAGAAACGTTTCTCCCTTTGTGCATCCACCTGCTCCACAGCTCAGCTGCTGGTTGGGCCTGTGTTGTCTCTGAGGTTCTCTGAGGGATCATCCACTCCAGCCCCTGGCTCTGCACCCCCAGCCCCAACATGCTTCAAGCAGGACATGGCAGTGCCTGTGACGCTGTTTGGTTGGGTTTTATTCATATAAGGGCTTGTTCTCAGGGAGCCTCTAGCAAGAACAGGATCCTTGGTCACCCTACAGCCCCACTGCCCAGGTGGATCCCACACATGGACTCTTTCCAAAGCCTTTAGCCTTGTGCAGCCAGACAAGACACACAAAACCAGCACACAGCCCTGAGCAGCTCCATGGTTCAGTTTGCAGAATAGTGCAAATGTAAAATCTTTTTCTTTTTTTTTTATGCCTTCTAAAATCTACAGCTGCCATGAGAGCAGCTTGAGCCTGGTGTGGAACTAGTGCAAATACAGTGCCTGTAAAGTGGAGTATTCCCTTCTGTAACAGACAAACACTTTGGGCTGGAGTTTGGAAATTTGCTGCATTTTGCTGCAGTCTTTCTTTGCAGGTCTCTCCCTCTCTGTTTCTCTCCCTCTCACACACACATTCATTCTCTCCCTTTTTTTCATTGTTTGCATCTCAAAAGTCAATTTCTTTCTAAATTGCCTGACGTTTATGTCCAGTGAGAATGAGGAGTGTGTTCTTTGTACTAGTAGGTCTCAGTGATGCTATAGGGACACAGATCCTTTCATTACAAATAATTAATTTAGCTATATATTGCATAACATCCTAAAAGGCTTTCTAGGGCAATCTCATGCTAGCTGGATACACAGTTCCTATCAATATTACATTACATTTGGGTACAACAGTTATGAAGTTTCATTAAAAATTTAATTTGTCGTTTAAAACTGCAGCATTCCCTTAAAAGTGTAGCAGAGAAACCATTTTGGCTGCTTGAGGGCTGATCTTGCAATAGCCAAAATTGCAGGGAGAGCTGCAGGAGGGGCTGGGTGCCGTGGAGATGCTCCCTGCTCAGGGATCCAGCGGGCTGGACCAGGAGAGGGAGGGAGCTCAGGCTTGGCAGCTGCCTCTACAGCGTCCTCCTGGGCTCCTGCCAGCTGGGAGATGCCTCTTTTGAGTAGAGAATTGAGCATTAACCCGTGTCTCTGGGTAGCAGCCTCGTGTGAGCACAAAAAGGGCTGTACCCCATCCTCAGTGCACCCCACCCCAGCCTCCTGCACCCATCTGGGATTTCGTTCGTGTGGGAAGGAGACAGGAACTTCTGGGGAGTGCAGAAGGAGAGAGAAATTGGTGCTGTGCCCTGGGGCTGTGGGACGGGAGCTGGGCTCTGTGTCCTGCGGGCTCCTGGGGAATGAGCTGCCAGCCCGGGAGCCCCGGGGAGAGGATGCTGGTGGTTTTGTGCAGGTCACAGACACACATCCTCCTCTGCTGACCTGCACTGGTGCAAATTCCCAGTCTCCTTTCCGCCAGGGAAGTTGCCCTATGATGGGAACTGGACGTGGAGCAGGAACGGGGCCGGTGTCATGTTCCGTTAATGAGGTTTTGCTGTGACCTCAGCAGCACGTCTGAATGGAGGCAGGTTTAAAACATCCCACATCCGCCTCTCCCTCTCAGAATTGATTTGTACAGTAATTCCCTCCCCTGTCTGCACACACCAACAGCAGAAGAACCAACAGCTTTTCCTTCCAGACCATCCCTGAAGTAATTTTCCAGCTTCCTCAGGATTTACCTGCTGTAAGAGAAAGCAGAGTGCCAGCTGAGTGATGGGTCCAGACCTGGACATGGACCTCCCAGTCCTGCCCAGGCAGGGGGATGGGACCTGCTGCTCCTGCCCACAGCCTCCATCTGACACAGGTGGTCTGCATGGAGCCTCTTGCTGGAGCACCCACAAGACAAACTGTGACTCTATTATAAAACCCACATTTGCCACTTTCCCTTGCCCAGGGGAGGAGAGGCACTCTCTGGGGACAGCAGGGTGCTCCCAAAGTCAGCCCCATCCTGCTGTTTGCTGTAGGTCTCTGCAAAAGATTCCTTCCCCTCCCCCCAGCGAGGATAATAATGGGGAGTGGGTCCCTAAATCCTTTAAGCCTCTTTGATAGCTTCAATATTTATCTGTAATCCTGCTAGCACTTCTGACCAGGAGCAGCCCTATGTCCCTGTCGCTCTGGGGCTTCTTCCCACCTTGCAGTGCTCCCTTTTCCCGGGAGAAAAGGCAGGGCAGGATAAGAGGGAAACATCAAAAGCCAGCGGCGCTGTCGGTGCCCTAGTTTTTTTCCGTGGTTATTTATCATTTTTCACAGTCTCTTGCTCTCTTTCTCCCACGCTCTCTGCTCTATTATGCTAATGTCTGTGGAGGCTGGGCTTGCCTCTGCACACCTTTGGGATGGAGTGAGGGGAGAGTGGCTGGGCAGTCTGGAGGGAGCTCCGAGCAGACACGAGGCAGATGGACAGCTGGTCTGGTCAGGCAGGCATGGGGGAGATGCAGATGCAAGCCCTGGGTCAGGGAGTTGGGAGCTCTGTGTGGGCACCTGCTCCCAAAGAGGGAGAAGCAGGAGCAGGGATGGTGAGGTCCCAGGGAGATAGATCTCCCCAGAGGGGGGAACACTCTCGTCCTGCCTGGTGGGTGAGAGCTTGAATTCTCTGTGCCAAAGTCAGCGTGTGTGCTCATGATGGTGTGGAGTTAAAAGCCAGCAAGGTTCTAGAGGCAGGATAGATAAAAATGTGATCATGCAACAGGAATTAATTGCATTTGCCTGCTGGGAGGGCTGACCCCTACCTAAAGGGTCAGTGGGAGCAAGGAGCTCTCAGGACACTGAAGAGCTGTTGCTGGAAAGGCTGCCATTAGGGCTGGATGTGTTATTGATTCCTGTTCAAGACTTGAGGCTTAAGAAGCTGCCGAGATAGTGGGTGTAACTGGAACAACACAGGAGCTGCTTCCAGGCAGTAAGTGAAGCTGGAGCCACGTTGGCTGGTACTGGCACTTCTGGAGCTGGAGATGCAAGGGATGGCAGGAGCCCAGCACAGGGCCCTCCCAGCCAGCTCTGAACCAGGACTGGGATGGCAGTGGAAGCCCTGGAACACTGTCCTTCCAGAGGTGAAAGAAGGACTCGCAAAACTCAGGGCTCCTCCTGGAGCAACACATTCCTTGTGTTGTTTGTGACAGCATTTGGGACTTGCAGAAATGCCACCCGAAGCTGAGGGCACAGCACTGCCCTGCT